TCATTCCATTTTCTGCTTTTGGAGTCAGAATCCAATTAAGCTCAATGTCAGTATCATTCTCCTCTACTCTTAATGATCCCTCACCTCCAATGTTAAATCCTGTAAATGTCTCTCAAGTCATCATTCTCTCTCTTTCCATTCCCTCTGTTCAGGTCTGCAACCTTCCCCCTTCCAGTTACTGCAACAGCCACAAAACTACTGTATCGATGTCAAACATTTCTAATATACTTACTTATCCAACAAACTAGATGCAAGGCACTGAGTACTGCAGTAAACAATACACACAAAGAAAGGGTTTGCTTTATGAAGTATTCCTTCTAATTTCCTTCTTAAATTAATCTGGTCATGGCAATAATGACTTCAAGTCTTCAACAGTCTCCCAATGCCAATAGGATAAACTTGTAGCATGGTCCATAGGCTCTTCAAAATCTGGCACATTTTATCCTACCAACATCTATTTCTTCAATCCTCCCACGGACCTCTTAAACTCCAGGCACATCTGTCTACTTTCTTTTTTATTAAAACTGCATGTTTCTTCAGCCTTTACATCTTGGCAAATGTTACTTCCTGTGCCTCAATTTTTTTTCTTTTCCCTCCAGAGATTGAGTTTCTATATTCAATCATGGATCTCATGACAGTATGGAAATTGTTTAAAAAGGCTGCTTTCACTTGGTTGTGAGCTCCTTTAAGAACAGGAACAGTATCACATTACTGTACTGCTCAGCACAAGAGTAGAATCTAGTAAGGCATCTTGCAATCCTCTTCATGAGCAAACATGGAAGGCACAGAAATCTGGCTAAGTGAAAAAGCAGAAGATCAGGGACTCAGGGACTCCAAAGTGCCTGATGGTTTGTTCAAAGTACTTATTTGTGAAATAGTTTTGCCCCTCTTTAGTGTCTGAGGGCAGAACTTCCTTCAGGGTTGTGTTTCTCAAAGTACAAAACAAATTTTTTTTTGGGGGGGGTGCTGGTCTTAGGGCTTGAACTCAGAGCTTAGGCGCTGTCCTTGAGCTTTTCTTTTTAGGTTTGCTTAAGGCTAGTGCTCTACCACTTGAGCCACAGCTCCACTTCTGGCTTTTCAGTGGTTAATTGGAAGAGTCTCAAGGACTTACTTGCCCAGGCTGGCTCTGAACTGCAATTTAGGATTACAGGTGTAAGCCACTGGTGCCCGGCTCAGAACACAGTATTTTAGGGAAGTAGAGCTGTGGCTCAAAGTGGTAGAGTACTAGACTTGAGTGAAAAAAGTTCAGAGAGAGCTAGCTCCCAGACCCTGAGTTCAAGCCCCCTACAGACAAAGAATAATAATAATAATAATAATAGGTGTCAGAGTATTTTAAGTAACATGATCAGGTAGGGTGTAGACCCTTTCCTTTCCCATTCCTCAATATTTCTCACTGAGAAAAACACACAGCCATAGTGACTGTTCTTACTTCATGTTCATGACCACTACTCTGAGTGGGTCCTTAATGCTACTAGCTATTTGATATTTTCCTCCATCACTTATTGGACTATTTAATGCCTTTTCCTCTCATTCCAGGACCTTTGTTCATATTCCACTGTGAAAACTGACAGGAACCAAAGACCTTACCAAGTTCCTACCACATCTACTATAGTCAGAGCTCATATATTTTGTCTTATCTCCTGTTACAATGAATTAACTGTGGCTAAACTCTTCTCATTTAGTTACAATGAATAAACTGTGGCTAAACTCTTTCATTTAGACAAGAGATCCATTTTTTTTTCTTAAGAAGCACTCCAGCTAGACAGTGCTGGTGGCTTATGCCTGTAATCCTAGCTACTCAGAAGGCTGAGACCTGAGGATATCAGTTCAAAGCCAGCCCAGGCAGGAACATCTGTGAGACTCTTATCTCCAAACCACCAGAAAACCAGAAGTGGAGCTGTGGTTCAAGTGGTAGAGCACTAGCCCTGAGCTGAAGAGCTGAGGGACAGCATCCAAGCTCAGAGTTCAAGCCCACAACAATGACGACGATGATGATGACATGATGATGACAGCGACAACAACAACAAAAGCACTCCAGCTGGGAGTTAATGGCTCACACATGTAATCCTAGCTACTCAGGAGGCTAAGATTTGAAGATCACGGTTAGAAACCAGCCCTGGCAGTAAAGGGGCAGAAAGGTCCATGAGATTCCTATCTACAATTAACTGCCAAAAAGCTTGAGCTATGAATCAAGGGCAGAGTTCTAACATTGAGTAAAAAAGCTCAGGGACAGCAGACAGGCCCTGAGTTCAAACCATCCCCCTATTACCTGCAAAAGAAAGAAGCACTTCAGTGGTAGAGTGCCTTCTTAGCAAGCAGGAGGCACTGAGTTCAATTTTCAGAACAACAACAAAACCACTCAGCAATCCTACTTTCTCTCTTATTTCACCCATTTTCCCCTTTCAACCACATTTCTGTAAACTCACAAACATGCTCTAATCTCTCTCAAAAAGAAAAAGAGTAATTCAAAAACTCTCAAACCTGCTATCAATTTCATTTTCTGCTATCAATTACGTTTTCTAAGAAATGTTCCAACAGTTGTCTTAACATACCCTCTCCAATTCCTCCCATTCTCCTTGAATCTATGCCAATCAAGCTTTTGCCTCTACCACTCCTAAAACTGCTCTTTTACCTGAGAACCACATTATCTAATCCATCATTTCCTCCTTCAGCATGCCTCCCTCACTTGGCTTCCAGGGTATCATTCCCTTGTTTTCTATCTCAGTAACCTTTCAGTCTCCTTTACTTGCTTCTTCACATCTCATAATATCTGCATGCTCAGGACTCAGTTCTCTCATTCAACAATATCTCCTGACTTTAAATATCATCTTCATTTATAGCTCCAGTTCAAAGATGTCTAAATTCTAAAGACATATCCAACAGTGACTCTAATATTTAAGAATATCTAATAGCCATATAAAAATCTAATATGCTTTAAACCAAACTCTTGACATCAGTGATCCAAAGTGTTCTTCCTAGTCTTCTCCATTAAAAAAAAAATTGAGTTTCATGTGGTGGTACATTCTTGTAATCACTACTCCAGAAAAGGCAGGAGGATCACTAGTTTAAGACCTGTCTGGGGGCTGGGAAGGTGGCTCAGTGGTAGAGCTCTTGCCTTGCATGCATCAGGCCCTGGGTTCGATTCCTCAGCACCACATAAGCAAAAAGAAAAAAGCCGGAAGTGGTGCTGTGGCTCAAGTGGTAAAGCACTAGCCTTGAGCTGAAGAGCTGAGTGACAGCGCCCAGGCCCAGAGTTCCGGCCCTATGACCGGACCCCCCAAAAAAAAAAATCAATAAAACAAAACAAACAACAACAACAACAAAAAAAAGACCTGTCTGGTTACATAGCAAGATTTTATCTCTAAAAAACAAGGACTCAAGATGTAGTTCAGTGGTAAAGCACTTAGCTAGCACATGCAAGGCCCCAACAAAATAGAAATACAAAATAATATCCAAACTCTTTAAGTTGTTGAGGGCAAAATGACTGGGTCATTACTACTCCCCCACGTTGTTTGGCACTACACAATTAGCCTGTTGCCAAATACAGTTGGCCTGCCTTAAAATGTAATTTTCACCCTGTCCAACTTATCCTAACTTACTATTCCAATGGCCACTTTCAATTTATCAGCCAAGTGATTTGTCTCCTTAAATCATCCAAACTTCCTACCTCAATCAGATTAAAAGCCCACAATGAACTATACATTCATATAATCTGACCATGTCTCCTACTTACTTCCTCAGTCTCTCTATTCCAGTTACAATAGGTTCCCTCCTATTCTGTAAACACATCATTTCACCTCAGGGCTTTGCTTATTGCTCCTCGCTCTGAGTGCAAGGTTCTTTTCCAGTTATCCATATGTTTCATTCCCTTGCCTTCTTCAGGTTTTTGATTAAATGCCAATGAGACCTTTCATGACTACTCTATTTAAAATGACAATTTTTTTCAATTCCTCATCCTTGATTTTTCTCTACCATACTCATCACTTACTATTGTAAGGTCTGCTCCTCTTTTTAAAAACCTAACACTATGCAACTGTTTATCTTGCTTAATTTTTGTAGTTTATTGACTATCTTTTTTTTATTAGAATGCCATGACAGTGATTTGTATTTGTTCTGTTCACAACTGTACCCTTAGTGTCAAGAATAGTGGTGACTTATGAAGTGGCTTAAAGGGTGATTTGGTGAATGAATAATATTGAAATTCTCAGTTTGCTGCCATAGTGTCTACAGTACTCAACACTCGCTAATCTCTTTTTTATGGTTCAGTGTCTCTGCAGGTCCAAGTGTCAAGTCAGAATTTAGTAACATCAAGTTGAAATGATTTTTCATTACTTTTTGATACCGAGGTCCTACTCTTATAACAGAATTAATTTTAATATTCATTTCTAAGTTTAAAAAGTGAGATACTTCAAGAAAAAAAAACCTTAAGAAATTATTGTGCAACTAGGAAAGGGGTATGGCAAAAATACTGTGCTATTTTAATCACTGAATTTTAGGTACTGTCTTGGGATACGGTTGTCAGGACATCCAGCTAAATATGAAATTTAGACAAATGGTGAATCATTTTTAAGTGTATGTCCCAAACTGAATGTGACAGACTAAAAATTATTCGCAGTTTATCTTAACTACCATGTAATTTTTATCCTTGCTAAATCAGGCAACCCTATTTGAGGAAAACAAACCGTCTGTCGCTTGCATTTGGATCTAATAGAACAATCTAGTAGAATTCTGGTCCTATCTACAATCTAGGCTTTTTTTTTTTTTTAAACGCCTCAATTAAGGCACCCCTGTGAACGGGTACTAAGATGCAAAGTCCTGTAAAAGTAGAGGCAAGACTACAGTGCACAGTGGAGGAAGAGCCTTGGCAGCTCCGAAAAGGGGCCCAAGTTCTCCTCGGCCTGGGGTGGGTGGGAAGGTCTCCCTGCTCGGCTGCCTTTCCCAGCCTGTCAGTCACCCGCTTGGAAGGGGCCCAGGCTCGGCAGTCACTTTCAGGCCCTTACCAATGTTGCCTTCGATGGAGAGCCGTCGGGGCCCGCGCCCCGCATGCAGGCCCCTGGACCAGGGCGCGCCCTCGAGCGGGTTCAGGGCCATGGAAGCGAAGGGTGCTCGAAGACGCCTCAGGAAGAACCAACCCGAAGCCATTCCCACCCACGTTGAGCGTAGGGCTCATTTCCTCTCCGCGCATTTCCGCTCTGGGTCCTCCTGTCACGCGCCTCGGCGCGCCTCTGACGTCAGAAGCTCGCCCGGACGGAAGCGTATGGGTGGCGCTGACTCAGAGGGAGGGGCTCAAGGGACGGTTGTGTTCTCGCGAAGCGTGCGGGAAAGCGCGGAGAGACGCGAAGTTACTAGCGCCGGGGGAAGGGGGGGGGCTCGCGCCACGGGGGGGGGGCGGGGCTCGCGCCACGGGGGGGGGCGGGGCTCGCGCCACGGGGGGGGGCGGGGCTCGCTCCAGCAAGCCGCGGCAGCGCTGCAACTAGCGCCTCGGGCTTCGAGTTTGGACCCACAGCATTTGCAGAGACACCCTACAGCGCATCATACTTTGATTTTTATAGACAAACCCAAATAAACAGTTTAAAAGTTTACCCCCTCCAATTGTTCGTGGTCCATTTTTATTCTAATATGTGCAGAAATCGGGTGAATATGACACACTCTGATGACTTACACTGACTTCTTTTCTCATTCCATCACGACTACTTAACATTTCTTTTTGCTGTTGGTTGTGAGTCTTGAACGCAGGGCCTGAGCATGGTCCCTGAGCTTTTGCTTGGGGCTAGTCTCTACCACTTTGAGCCATAGTTCCACTTTCAAGGGTAAACATTAGCTTGACTTCCGACAATAGAGATCCGTTTTAATTATCTCTTTATACAAATAAAGTCATCTAATAATTCTTTAATCTATGAGACTGATGCATGTTGTGTGAATTGGTTGTAGTTCATTCTCCTTGCTACATAGTATGTCACTTAACAGTATTTTATCCATTTTACTATTGATGGAAATTTCAGTTTCTAGATTTGAGACATCATAAATCGTGTTGCTATCAGTTATATTGTACATACCTACTGGTAAATAAAAGTATGCCTGGTAAACAAAGGAATATATCTGGGAGAAGATCTGCTGTGTGATAAATTATGTATGTGCTCAGCTTTAGTGGATATTCTAAATAGTAAACAGCTCCAGTGTCTGATTATACCAATCACACTATTAATGAGTAAAGTTTTGGTTGTTCTAGAACTAAGAGCATCAATTCATATGGCCAACTTAGTCCATTTTGCTCTGTAGAATGGTGTTTTTATATAGCTTTTGATTGCTTGTTTTTGTTTTTTTTTGGTCGGTCGTGGGGCTTGAACTCTGGGCTTGGGCGCTGTCCCTGTGCTCTTCAGCTCAGGGTGAGCACTCTACTGCATTAGCCACAGTGCCAGTTCCGGTTTTCTAGTGGTTTATTGGAGATAAAAGTCTCACGGATATTTCTGCCCCAGCTGGCTTTGAACCGCGATCCTCAGATCTCAGCCTCCTGAATAGCTAGGATTACAGGCGTGAGCCTCCAGTGCCCAGTTTGTTTTTTTGAAACAGGGTCTTATGCTGCCCAGGCTGGCCTGGAACTTGTGATTCTCTTGCCTCAGCTTCCTGAGTGGAGGGATTACAGATAACTGCCTCCATGCCTGGCTCCTTCTTACAGTTTTTAAAAATATTTGTTATTTTTATTAAGTAGCTGTACAAAAGTGTTTCAATTCCAGAAGTCAGGTTATGAGTGCCATGCATCTTGATCGCTAGCTATCACCCCTTCCGTTATCCCCCCATCTAACCTATCCTATCCCTACCCTCAAGTGCCTTATTATAATTTTAATAATAGTTTAATATAGTTTTGATAGTTAATAAAGTTGAGCATCTTTTCATATGTTTTTGGCAATTCCATTATCTTCTGTTGTAAAGAACCTGTTCAAGTTTTGTGTTCATTTTTCTATTGACTGCCTTTATTTGTCTTGTTCTTTGTATATCCTAGATATGAGGTTTTTTCCAAATATTTTCTCTCTTCTAAAAAGACTTTTTTTTGATAGTCCAGGGGCTTGAATTCTCTTAAGGTTTTTGCTCAGTGCTAGCACTGTATCCCTTGAGCCACAGCTCCATTTCAGGTTTTTTGGTAGTTAATTGGAAATGAGCATCTCATGGACTTTCCTGCCCAAGCTGGGATTTTCAGATCTCAGCTTTCTGAGTAGCTAGGAATTATAGGTATGAGCCACCAGTGCCCACCTAAGGCTTTGAATTTTTATGCAGTGTGAATTAATAAACTAAAGCATCTTTTGCCCAATTGCCAGTTATACTAATACCATCATTAGTGATTATCTTTCTATCCCATTTTATTTATGTTTATTTCATTTTGTTTTTTGGTACTAGAGATTGAACTAAGGGCCTTAAGCATTCTAGGCAAGTGTTCTACCATTTAAGCCATGCTCACTGCCCTATGCTTGTTTTATTGTACATTAAACCATACATTCAACATCTTTCTTGGGTCTAATTCGTTCATCCAACATTTGCTGAGCATTTACTATGTGCCAGACACCTTGGGGTATAGAAACATTTTTTAAATGTTTCTAAAGTTGCTATTATAAGTAAAAAGATGAGCCATGTTACACTAAGTGCTATGCAGATGTTAAAATGGGAGATAAACCTACATAAATTTTGTTTTATTCTGTTGCTTGGACTTTTATCCAGCCATTTCTCATATACATTAAAGACTTTTTTTTTAATGTGTTAGGATAAGCTAAATTGATTTGACAAAGCTGAAAGTCTGTTTCCAGAATGCCCTATCAACAGAGCTCTTTCTAGAGCAGACCAAAAGAGAACCTGGTATGAAATCTAAAATGTAGAATGGGGACAGTCCACTAGCCATTCACCTAGGAAGATGCTGTGACAGGTGTAGTGGGCTGAGAAATCCCAGCTAGTTCTCTACGTAGTGATGACCCTTTGAATTATCTTTTAATTCCTTGCAGACTTTCACCTTCCCAGCACTTTCTACCTTTGGGTAGTCTCCTTCCTGTAATAAACCTCTTATTTCCATAATACCCATAGTGGCTCTGCTCCCCTGAATGAACTCTGACTGTTACGCCTGTTATAACTAAGGGAGGTAGCTCAGAATATAGTCTCTAGAGCCACCAGGGATGTAGGTCAATGGCAAACCACTCACCTAGCATGTGGGAAGACCCGGACTTCCATCTCAAGCACCCCCAAAAGGAAGAAAAGGGCCTCTGAATTCCAGTAATATGGGTTAATAGGGAGAATCCACCCGAAGCTCCAGCTAGACAGTTGCTCAACGGGCATTACACAGAAACTAATAAATAACAGCTGCTTTCAGGTTGGCCCTCAGTAACTGGAATATTATTTCCATTTATCAATTGACTTCCTGTTGAATCAAACCACTCACTATTCCTCTACCTTCCATAGATAACTTGACATCCATTGAAGAATCTAGGATATCATTTTTTTTTCTTGAATTGGGCCAGGAGTGGTGTAGGGGTGGAAGAAAAGGTGGAATAGGCGGGTGACTGTGGAGGATAGAGATGAGTAGGGCCTAGTAAGCATGCCATAGTAAGCCTGGAGATGCACTGCTGTAGAACACACTGTCAGGGATCTATCAGTTCTCAGATCCTGTGTGCCCCTTCCTCTCCTACCCCACCTCCTGCCACTTGTCCTTCAGCTATTCTCCCTGTGCTTTCTCTTCCATCAGCCACTCTTTTGAGAACAGCCCTCCCCTACAGAGGCACATGTAGAAGGTCAACATTATGTTCTCCTGTGTGCACCTCTGTCAATCTCTGTCAAAGCTGGGGCTATGAATATCAGTTCTGAGACTTCTGGTCTGTCTCTATATTCCCCAGTGCTGTTGTGAGGACCAGGCTAGAGCTGCCCTCTGCAGGACTTTGCCTGAGATCATCTCTGTGCTGGTCCCATCCTTCTTCTTCTTCCTCTCCTAGTCTGTTTAATGAATCCTCCTGAGAGCATTCTCTTGATCACTTGTTTCTGGGCAAAATGTCATTCCACAGTTTGCTTCTGAGACCCAAGAGCAGGATGTGTGTGTGTGTGTGTGTGTGTGTGTGTGTATGTGTGTGTTTGTGTGTGTATGAGTGTGCGCATGTGTGTGTGTGTGTAAATGACAAGAAGAAAAAAAAGGATGAATGGAGGGACGGAGAGAGATAAAAGGAGAAAAGAATAGAGAGGGATAATAAATTTTCTTCCTAAGCATGCTGTTTCTTTTTGGGGGCAAAATACAATTTAATCTTCCATAGCAAAGGACCTCACAGAGATCTTAAGGCCCTTACAAGTTTCTTTCATGAACCACTCATAAAATCTTATAAGCCATTGATTTGTGTTCTCTAGTGCCTCATCCTTTGAGTACAAGGACTTCGATCTCTGAAAACTCAAATCACTTCAACCCAGTTTTAATTCTAAGTACTGGGGTAGGGGCAGAGATAGGAGGATCATGGTCCAAGACCAGCTCAGGCAAAAAATTAGAGAGACCCCCCCCATCTCAATCAATAAGCAAGGCACTGTGTCATATACATGACATCCCAGCTCTGCAGGAGTTGTAAATAGGATCACAATCCAGGCTGACTCTGGGCAAAAATAGGAGACTTTGTCTGAAAATGGCTCAAGCTAAAAGGGCCTCCAAACTCTTTTTTGGAGCTCTGAGTGGCTTGAGGGGTAGAGCACCTGACAAACAAGTGTAAGGCCCTGAGTTTAAAAATTCCAGCACTACCAAAAACCAACCCAACCCAAGGACAAGATGACATAGTGGAAAGAATACTAGCTTTGCAGATGGCAATGCTTGTTGAGCCTCAATTTCCTTATCTGTAATATGGGGATAATAATAATACTTACTTCTCAAGGTTATTATATGGATTAGGAAAAGAAATGTGTAAAAAGCCCTGAGCATTGTGTATAAGACCCAGCTCGGGAACAAAAGAATAGCACACAGGCAAGTAAGGCTTGCAGGTTTTAATGTTTTGTGATGGGTAATAGCAGTTTTGAGGGGATCCTCAGAGAGCCCTCTCTGACTTTAGAAGCATTTCCTGTGGACAATGGAGGGCCCTGCCTCGTCATACTCTGGCTTGCTGATCCACATCTGCTGGAAGGTGGAGAGAGAGGCAAGGATGGAGCCTCCAATCCAGACCGAGTACTTCCGCTCTGGGGGAGCAATAATCTG